TGGCCTCGATAGAGATTCTACAACCACAGAATAAGAGTAAGACGTAAAAGGAATAGGAGGGGAAGATGGCAATAGGTTTAGGCCCTGTTTGGTTGGGCTTTTGGCTTTGGCTTTTAGCCCCAAAAGCCAAAAGCCTAACCAAAGGGGCTGCTTTTGGAGGGTGCTTTTTCAGAAGCAGCTGCTTTTCCGTAGTTCATTTTTGAAAGTTGGGTTGACCCTGCTTTTGGCTTTTGGCTTTCTGCTTTTCGAAATTGGTGGAATAAAAAGCTCTTCCATAGTTGTTTCAAGAGAGATAAAGATAAAAGGTATATTTTATACTTGTTTAACCAAACAGCTTTCAGCTTTTCTACAGCTCACAGCCCACAGCAGCTTTTCCATAGCTCACAGCCCACAGCAGCTTTTTCCCACAGCCACAGCTCAACCAAACAGGGCCTTAAGTCAAGGATATGGTTGACAATAGCTATACGTATTGTTCGTACCGATTGATTTAGTAAAGATGCATGGAGGAGAGGACAACAATTACAATTAAACTAACAAACAAAATCGTTTACAATATTTATTTATAATTAAAAACAGCTAAATGTTTGAATGAAAAATCTAGTTACCCACGCACTACAGTTTGCTAGTTCTGAATACTTACCGGTGCCAAATACCAGTAATATGTCGTGTATAAAATGCATTTCATTTTGCTGGCAATACTGGAGTGGAACAAAAAAAAGTGCCTATAATCTTGCTAAGCATACCTGAGCCCTGTGTGCCTATAATTGCATTCTTTTTACGACGGGAGTAATTCCGAATACTTAACGGTGCCAAATATCGGTAATGCCATGTATTATAAAATGCATTTCATTTGCCGGGAAAACTTTACTGGAGTGAAACAAACAAACAAAAAAGTGCTTATATAATCTTGCTAGGCACAGCTGAGCCCTGTGTGATGTGCAGCTTGCAGGAGGTGTGCGTGGTTGCTGCGCGTTTGCGTTGCGCCCATGCGTTTTGACTTTTGAGAAAGTGCGAGTCCTTTTCAGACAGCTTCATAAACACTTGGGGTGCAGCTAAGACGTTAGCCTTTTGTTCCTTTTTATCCTTTTTAGGTTGGTAGGGAAAGCGACGCATATCATATAGGAGAGACACTGCACGGATGATTTGCACTCTCAGTACGTGAGCCTAGAGCTAGGCGGCGGCAGCCAGCAGTACGCCGTGGAGGCACGCCACCACCACGGTCACGCACGGTGTGTGCCGCTCATCAGCTCGTGCACTTTACTTGGAACCGCCGGCATGCATGTGGCATGCAAGTAACCAAGCAGTGGACGACAAACGTGTAGCGAGTCGTTTGCCCAGATTTCGTCCCTCGCCTGTCTGTTGCAGTTGCTCCCTTGTGTGAAAATTGTTCTAGGATCAACTGAGGGCGCAGAGCCTGAAGGAAAGCTACAGCGCACCGTACGTTACAACGTTGATCTGACTCTGAGCTATAACAGGTGTGCGGCTTTTAGCCCTGGGAAAACGATCGAGACGTCAGTTATGTATACTGGACTAGTTGTTGGCAATGTGCAGTCTTTTGTTCGCAGCTTCACATTTACGCCAGATGCATGTCCTATATTGACCTATTCCTATGGATGAGCGCGATTACTACAGTCTCTATCCGTTGTTTTGACCATATGGGGGACAGGAATTAATACTCCCTCCATCCCAAATTGTAAGTCATTCCAAGAATCTTGGAGAGTCAAACTTTTTCAAGTTTGACTAAAATTATAGAGAGAAATACAAAGATTGATGACATCAAATAGATATAATATAAAATATAACTAATGAAGAATCTAATGATACTTACTTGGTATGATAAATATTATTATTTTGTTATATAAATTTGGTCAAACTTGAAAAACTTTGACTCTCCAAGATTCTTGGAATGACTTACAATTTGGGATGGAGGGAGTATAAGCTAACTGTTGAGGAATAATAGCACATAGATAGAACGACGAAGAACCCAACCGGCACAAGTTTCCCACACAAGTTAGGCCTCACTAGCTGCCTGCCTCGACCCAACCGGCACTACTCTGACTAATGACTGCCATAAGCCAGACACCAGTAAAAGCAAGCCCAGTTTATTTCTACAAGTAGTACGGCAGAAAGGTTTACACACTGACAGTGTACAGCCATATACCATTTCGGCATTTCCGACACACAAAAGGGCAAGATATCAGGTCACCGACCCTCTCAGTTTTGTAATCACCCTGCACTAAACAAATCCCTTGGGGGCTTCGCGGGATCATGCCAATCAGAGCGAACGCTTTGCGCTTTTGTCTACACGTCTCCCGATCGACGATGGAGCAGATAAGGATCACGATAGATTTCCTATGGAGACATAGGATGGCCAGCTGATCGATTTACTAGTATATAGTACACTCCTCATCTAGCACGAACAGTCGTCCTAGCTAATAGCTAGTACTCCGTACGTGCTTTTGGCCCATGTCCGTTGCCCGTGACCTGCGACGTGACGCTGCGAGGGGCGCCAACGCATCCCACACCCATCGATGAGACATCAGAGGGCGGCAAGGGGGCTTGCAACTGGACCGTCCGCCCGCGTGCGTGCGTGCGTGGTGTGACACTGTGACTGATCGATGAGATAGATGTTTGTAAACCATGGCCACTGGCATGGTGCTGGACTGCTGGTGCGTCGTGCGTCGTGGGCGGACGGACGGACGAACGGGCGGAGACCGGGCAAGGCTGCTAAGGCAGGCCAGTTCGAACCTTCCCTTGAGCCTTTGATCAGGCTTCTTCAGCCAGGACCGAGGGCCCCCCCCGCGCGCGCGGTGCAGCTAGCTGCAGAATCCATCCGATCCGGGAGAAAAATATTGGAGCGGCCGGCGGCCCATATCCATCCGTCCTCCATCCGTGCCATGCACATCTCGTCTCTGGCCTTATTCCGAGTCCCGATACAGTAAAAGATATGGGGCGCATGCATGCAGTATTATAATGGGACGATGATTGGTGGTGTCATGTGTTTGTGTGTGTGTCACCAAGGATGTCATACAAGTATGTATGTGCTCCGACCCATCCGGTAGTGTATTCTATTGCGAGATTAGCATGCATGCATACGCGTGCCGTCGTCACTGTTCGCGTGAAAGGTGTGTCGATCTGCTGGTTTCTTGTGACCGATCCATGACAAAAGAGATGAAGAAAGGCTCGCTCGTACTCGGTGACTCGGTGTCGATTACGAAAAGGGCTAATGCACGGTATTGAATCAATCTTTTTGTCGATGATGGAGTGAGTACATGGCAAAGAAGCTTCTTCGAAGCTGATTATAGTTAACACATGGTCATCTAGGTGCGTGCTACGACAAATTAGTACTACTACTAGAAAAGTAGACAGACCTTAGCTATACTAGACGGTGCCACCTTTCTCTCATGCACACAAGTGTCAAAACACCCTGTGATAAACAATGGGAGGGCGTGCCTAAATGTGGCTAGCTAGCTAGTAGCTAGTTTATCCAACGCTAGTCCCAACGGCCATGTGCTCCAAGAGCTGACACATGCATCGAGATATGACAAAGATCAAACAACGGAACCAGATGGAAAGTACCATTATTTAATCAAATGCACAACATGGTTTGGTACTCCTTAGAGAATCCAATCCAACCCAATCATCCGTCCGTTCTTCTCATCAATCTCAATAGAGTTTGCTTCCGTCCACACGCCTCGTTCTACGTTTTTTTCTGGCCGCGCCGCGCCGCGCCGGTGATTGGCGCCGCCCATCTCGCGGTGGCCTCGCTCGTCATCGCATGGAACGGGTCGGCGAGGAGGACCGAGTCCGCGCGCGCGGGGCACTGTTGGTTACCCTTTGCCCCGTGCGTCTCGGTCCGTGCATGCACGCGAGCCTCATGATGCGCTGGTCCATGCCCATGGATGCAGCGAGCGCGCACGGCACCGCGCGCACCAACCCCCCCGGCTTCGATCGTCCGTCGCCGCCTCGCCGGCCGTCGTCGTCAGCATCATGATCATGACGAGGAAACGCGCGCGGACGCAAGCACAGCGCACCGAGAAAGTGCTCTCAGTCTCAGGTCACGGATTGAGAAGCAAGGCGCGCCAGATATTATATACAGTATATCCAGGTGGCGACATCGATTTGACAGGTTCCGAACTGACAGGTCGCGGCTGCTACTGCTGCTACGTGAATTTTAATGGGTCGGTCGGTCTACCCAACGCTCGGGTATTCTAGGTGGATGGGACATCCGAGTGTTTGGGGGCACGAAAACAGTCGATTGGACGTAGAGCCTATAATCGAGTGTTTTGATCCATTCATCACTTGATTTTCATGATTATTGGATCCAGATTAAATGAATCAAAATCGAATGATACAATACAAAAATAAAATAAAAATTTGCTCCATTATTTTTATGGAAGCTAAATTGAAAATTTTTAAAGGGAAACAAATAAAACATACCGAAAAATAAAAAAACCACAAAAAATCAGATAATTGATCAAATAATTGTGACCATTCTCATATACCAATAATCAATTTATACTAATTTACCACATAACTTATAGAAATAAGTCATGTTTACTTGGCTTATAAACCGTACTTTTTCAGTCAACGAATAATATTTTTCTCTCGCATCAAATCAGCCAATGATACTTTATTAAACGAACGGGGCAATAGTAAAATATGGTCTTTATAGAGAAATAAAATTGCATACATACATATACAAACTGAAGAATAGTTTTGAACAGTGGCTGACTGACTGGTTGGCACGCAGAAGAGAAGCCAAACAAAGCAATGGCGATCCACATCTCTAATAATTTCTCTATGATATGGTGCTAGCTAGCCACAGACCATATGGAGAGAGAGAGACTGAGAGAATGTACATGTGATGACCTCGTACTCAGAGAGAGATCATATCGATGGACAGGGAGAGCCAAGAACGACTAGCAAGAGACACGCTAGCCCTGCATGAAGTAGTCATTGCCGAAGCTTTGAGCGCGCGTTTAGTGTAGTCTCCTCGGTCATGTCAGGCTGTGGCAGAGGCCAGCCGGCGGCGCCTTGACATGAAGGTGATGATCCGCTGCCGCCCACATCTCGGCCTGCGCGTTGGGAAAGTAGCACGCGGAGAGCTCCTGCAGGGACGCCGCCGCCCTGTCCTGTAGCAGCAGCGGGGCGAACCCTGTGCCGAAGAAGTCGCCGCCAGGCGGGAACTCGCTGTCCCCGAGGAGCTCGGGCAGGAACATGTCGTCGAGGGGCAGGCCGCCGGCCCAGGTGCCGCTGATGGCGGTGGCCGGCGCGGGGGAGAACTCGGCGAGCGCAGACGCTTGCTGCTGCGCCCGCGGCGGCGGCACTGGCGCTGGTGCCGTGCCGTCGTAGCGCGCGAGCACCGGAGCAGCAGCCTGCAGCGTCATCGACGGGGAAGGGTACATGGCCCCGAAGCTGCACGCGTCGCTGGCGCTCGCTGGCGACGGCTGCATGGAGGAGGCGCATTGTTGGCTCCGGGGAGCAGCGGCGCGCGGCGTGACGACGGCGGCGCCGCGGCGGCCGCGGCCGCCTGAGCTGTGCTGCTGCTGCTGGTGGTAGTACTCCTGCTGCTGCTGCTGGTGCATGGCGATTGCCTTCTTCTTGAGCTTGGTGTTCCAGTAGTTCTTGACGTCGTTGTCCGTCCGCCCCGGCAGCTTGGACGCGATGATGGACCACCTGCTCCCGATGGAGTTGTAGAGGGAGCAGATGATCCAGTCCTCCTGCTCCGTGTAGCCGCCGTGCTTGATGTCCGGGCGCAGGTAGTTGAGCCACCGCAGCCGGCAGCTCTTGCCGCACCGGTTCAGCCCTGCGCGAGCACATCCATGGACGAAGCAACCATCAGAATTATACTCATCTCGCTCGCCGCGCGGCGCTGCGTGCACAATAAGAATAAGCATCGATCCAGCTGCGGGCGGCGATGTATGAGTACGCACCTGCTTTGTGCGGGAGCGCGATCCAGTTGCCGCCGGTGCCGTGGTTGTGGACGTAGCTCCGCAGCAGCTCGTCCTCCTCGGGCGACCAGGGCCCCCGCTTCACACTCATCTTGTCGCAGCATGGCGCCCGACCCATGCTGCGCGCTCCAACAGAATTCTCAGGCTGTGTGTGCCCGCTCTGATCGAACAAACGCGCGCACGTCGGGAAGGGAGGGGAAGCGGCAGCCGTGGTGGGGATGGATCGGGATAGGGTGGTGGTGGCAGGCCGCGGCTGCAGCGATGGCGCGAGTTTCTGTGCCCGGGGGCGCGGCAGCAGCCGGACCGCGGGGGCGGGCGTGTGTTTCTGGCAGAAGATACTCGCAACAAGGTAGGCCAGCAAGCGAGGCTGCAGCTGCGGTCTACGGGGAGCGCAGGCGCGTTTTATAGCGGCAGCCTTGACCTTGAGGCACCACCAGCACCAGAGGTGCGTTCGGGGCCTGGCCTGGGAAGGATAGTGGGCGTGGGCCAGGTGCGACCAATTTGCGGAGCCGTCCCCGCGGCCCGGCCCGACCGTATTAGGCAGTCCCGAGTCCCCACGAAAGGAAACCAGTAACATAAGACACCGCATAAAAAAAAAAATACTGTTTTCTAACCCATGATTTCTATGAGTAATAATTATTTTCTCTTTCTCTCTCCTAACTCTATCTTCTTCCTCCAACGAGAGTGCGACACGAGCTCCCTAGAAACTGGTGATTTCTCCCCAATGGCGATTTCATGGTTTCTTGGTGCATTGGGTCAAGAGTAGACCTGATTTCTTCACGAGGAAACCATTTCTATGATTTTTGCTCTCTTTCTTCATTAATTACGTTGCCATGTCAGCGTTTTGCCTACGTGACAAGTCATTTAATGATGATAGAAATCATCATCAATGCACCATTGGGACTGCCCTTATTAGCCACGTTCGTTTTAACTTATCAGTCGACTTATTAACAAGCTATAGTATTTTTCTCTCGTAACAGAATAGTTTTAGCTGACTTATCAGCCTAACAGAGCCGTACGTATTACGCCATGGCCGTTTGTTTTGAAAAATGTTTTTGCTTCTATAATACTCCTGTAGTCCTGTGTTGACCAGTACTGTATGTTTTAGTACTTATGAGTTTAGTCAATCCGTCTGGTTGTACTTGGCCACACAAGTAAAGAGCGTCATTTTTATGTGTTTCCCCCCAGCTAGATAGACTAGAAAAATGGTGCGGGAAGGTGCGGTGCAGGCGTGCAGCTCGTTCCCGGCCGGTCCCGGGTGTGCGTTTCGTCTCGTGCCAAATGCGTTTTGTTTCCCCGGTTCTAGGATCCTTCGAAACCGTCGGCCTGTTCATTTGGCTGTGGCTTGTCGTAAACGATCGTAAATTTTTAGTCAGAACAGTATTTTTCTCTCACACAAACTAGCCAGCGGTACTTTTTCACAAACCAGCAACGAAACGAACCAGCCAACCGAACAGGCTGCGTGTGGCTACTGGCTACTGCTTAACAATTCCTTCACCTTTTCCTATATATACACATCGGCCCCAGTTTCAGAGACCGGACTCAAAACGAACCTGATCAAGACACGGATGACGAGTTGATGACGCCCCTTCTTTCACCGGCAGACATGCCATGCGTTTCACAATTGCGATGCAGACGACAGCAGTTCTTAGGCATTGTTGACAAATGCAGGAGCATCGTTGAGTATCGCTTGTGTTTACAACCTGTGTGCCCTGCGATGCACGCTTCACGCTTGTCAAACCTGCGCTGCACGCACCCATGCGGATACTGCGCCACGGGATAAATAAATTAAAGAAAGGACACGAGCAGGGCATGGCCATATGAATTGTTTTGGACGCCTTTCCTTTCGGCTAGCTAGCCGGCTAGCGGAATGGAGCATCTTGTCTGATCGATTCGATCCGTTTCCACGCGCGGGCGCGGCAGAGGGCCGGGGGGTCAAGCGTGGTGACTCACAAGATTGTGCGCTACCCGTCGGGGCAATCTTCGCGTCGCCGTTACAACACCACACCAACCCGTTTGACCCCTGTTCATCTCCGATCCGGTGACTTAAATTTAGGAGGTGTCACGTGAGGGTGTCGTATGGGATGTTCGGATAATAATAAAAAAATAAATTATACAATTCGTCAGTACTCCACGAGACGAATTTATTAAGCCTAATTAATCCGTCATTAACACATATTTACTGTAACAATATATTGTCAAATCATGAACTAATTAGGGTTAAAAGATTCGTCTCGCAAATTAGTCGTAAGCTATGTAATTCGTTTTGTAATTAGTCTATATTTAATACTCCATATATATGTCAAACATCCGATAGGACAACGACTAAAATTTAGAGAAGAAACCAAACATCGCCTAAATCTGTGCACTCGAGGTCCAATAGGAGTAAATAAACAGTAGCCAAGGGGCATGCATCTTGACCTTTTTGCGCTGGCAATCATAGTAGTTCACACAGGCCAAAGACAACGGGCTGCTACCTGCATTTTTTTTAATTTTCGGTTATGCAACGAGAACAAGGCCGGAAGAAGCTGTGCAAGGTTCCAGCGCATGCAGGTTTGGGTTTGGATTGAGGTTAGAAATCAGTATTGGATACTGTAGTATTTTTGTTTGTATTTGATAATTATTGTCTAATCATAGCCTAACTAGGCTCAAAAAATTCGTCTCATAATTTACAATCAAACTATGTAATTAGTTATTTTTTATCTATATTTAATACTCCATGTATGTGTCCAGAGATTTGATGTGATGGAGAGAGAGTGAAAAAACTTACAATCTAAACAAGGCCTTGACTACCATACTGTTCCGACATCTTTCAAAGGTTTGGACTTTGAAATAGCCATGGATGTGTGCTTCGAACAATAATTAAAACTGAAATGACGCGTATGTCGCAACGGATTCACATGTGTAGTCTGCTTGAAGCTTTCTATGCCATTAGTGTTCCTCTTCACCAAAATCATGTGTCAAACACAAATTGACATTGGGGGGTGGGGGGAGGAACAGAAGTGGGGCTCACCGGAACTACCAAAAGGCCAGCCCAACATGGTCGTACAACCCAAAAGCAGAGGCAAGGCCCAGGCCGGACAGCCCACCTTCTCAAAACAGCCCAAAACACTACGGCCCGTCCAGATACAACTCCAGCAGTCCTCCTGATCGTTCATCGAGCGTTCGCTCGTTTTTGGACAGCGCAATCTAAAGATATGATTCGTTGTTGCCAGCTCGCTCAGCCAGCGCGTCCACGTTGCTGTTATTTCGTGGCCGTTCGATCGGCCGCGCGGACGGTCCAGATCGGACGAGCCGCGGTCGTTTTACGAAAAACCTCTTTTAGTTTTTGGAAATCAACCCGCGCTCCAGACGTCCTCTCAGATTTTTTTACAAAAAACGCCTCATGTTATTTCCAAATCGACGCGCAGTCCAGAACGGATGCACACTGGTTTATTTGCAAAAAAGACCTCCACTTTATCGAAATTTAACCCGCGCTCCATAGACACTCTCATCATTTTTTGCGAAAACATCCTCTGATTTTTCTCAAATCAAAAACCAGTCCACCTTTCATTATTTCTTTTCTTTTCTCAAAAAAATATGTGGGCCCGTGCACCGCGCGCATGGGCGCGCCTGAAGGACTAGTGTGTATGGTTGGCAGACGGGTGTTGTATATTCTGGAGTATTAATTAGTGGATGTAGGTTAAGTGGAATCATGTTTCTAAAAAGAAAGTCGTTGACATTGAATCAGGTCAAACACTAGTACGGGCTAGCACGTTCCAGCTCGCACATGTGCCTTGACCTCAGCGAGAATGTCCTAGAACAGTGAGACCAACCACAATAGATGTAATTTTTGACAATTGAAAGTTAGATTCCTTCCCCACACACAGCTCACAGGGAAGGGAACTTGGCTAGGCCAGTTTTGGCAGATTAAGCCAAAAACGTCTATTCTTCAATTGAACTTCAATTTCAATGTTCCAAATATATTCCTTCAATGTCTTGAAACCAGAAACTTTATGGTGGAGTCGATTACTTTTATTGGTATACTATTGTTCTTAACATATGTCCCCTATTTTTATGTGAAGTTTACATGAACATGAAAATATAAAAATACCAAATAGCAACGATTCCTAACTCATTAGCTACTTGGGATCTAAGTGTGATGTGTACATTGGTCATTTTTTCTAGTGCGATACATGTATCGACCATTGTTTGGAGAGCACTCTAGACTTCTTGCCAAACACTTGGATTTTTTTTTAAATATTCATCGTTAATTGCTCTTGTGAGATAATCACCTTGCAGCATCTCAAAAACCCAATTCACTCCGGCATATAGGCAGGGCATAGGCACCCTTAGAGGAGCGACAAATCACAAAAACCCTAGATCACTATGAGCTAGCACTCTCCTATCACCTCTCTTCCTTCTCCATCGTAAGAATTCGATTGAGCATTCTAACACGAAGAACTAGATGCTAGATGTAGGGCTTAGACACGTGAATCGGAACAAATCCTTGTTTTTGAGTGCTAAACCACTGGAGTCCCATACATCGTGTATAAAGATGGCAACGGGTACGTACCCGATGGGTATTGGCCACCCGTACCCGCACCCGCCAGATCAAAATCTTACCCGTCGGGTTACCCGTACCCGCTGGCGGGTAGAAAATTCATTCCATACCCGCACCCGACGGGTAATTCTTACCCGACAATATACCCGAGTTCACACACCAAAATATAATAGCTTTCAGCAAAACAAATCAACAATAGAGTAGCAAAACAGAAATATGGGCTGGTGGAGTGGAGTGAGGATGAGGATTAGGGTTGGAGAGAGTTCCAGAATATATATACTCATATGCTTATATGGGTCAAATATGGGCTATATGCTTATATGGGCTAAAATTGCAGAGGTTGGATATTATTTATGCGGGTTTTTTTTACGCATGGTATCTGGTATGGGTAGTATACCACCCACCCGTACCCGCATACCCGATGGGTACAAGAATTCGTCCAATAACGTACCCACGGGTGCAAAATGTCTTCTATACCCGCCTCCTTATCGGGTAAAACCCGTCGGGTACTCGGGTTTCGGGTACCCGTTGCCATCTTGAATCGTGTAACACCCTCGGTGTTTGGCTTCTACTAA